GCGTCATTGATTAATTGTCGTCCTCCTTACTCTGTTCGAGTGTGAGAAAAAACAGTGTATTTATATCAATTTCCTAATGATTAATATTACCACTGTACGAACGATTTTTTTTTAACATGGGAGAGATTAAATCAATGCTAGTAGTATAAAGCAGAGAAATCGAATGTAATTTTCGTTTAGAACGATGGTTTTTATGTTCAAAAATAGAAAAACTACTCGTAACTGAGATATTTTATCAAATTTAATAGAAATGAGTATTGACAAAATCAACGTATAATTAACAGTAGTGTCTATTAAATACAAGAATATTTTATCCGTCACTGATATAGTCGAACAATTTTATCTTGATTTAGAACTAGTGTCTTTGAATGTATCATTTTTTGCTTTTTCAAGGCTCTATGTTCATGTTAGAGTATTTCTGTTTTCGATTATATGATATTTAAAGTGATGTTAGTTAATTAGAGAAGAGTATTATAGCAACATTCAAAGTCGTTTTTTATTTGAATAGCTCTTGTAAAACATGTAAAAGCATCTGTAGGATGGTTTCTATTCTACATATTACTAACTGTCATTTCATGTGATAGAATTGTGAATGTAACTGATTATGATTTCTTAACATATACTAAAAAGAGAAGAGAAGAAACAAGAAAAAATCGATCTAATAGAGCTGAGTGTCTAAAGAAACAACAAAAAAAAAAAATCAGATAATTATCACAGAAAATGCTCAATAAAGAAAACACGGAAAGTTGGTCAATTTTCTTTTTCTGCTGTGAGATGACCGCTAGTCAAAAAAAACAAAGATTGCTGAACTATGAGCAGAAAATGAAAAGAACATGTAAAAGAAAATAATACTTTTCTCATTACTAATAATCCATTTCTCTAACGATGGCATTTTGGACAATCATTAGGCAGGAAAAATATACTGGTTATTGTACATGAGAGCGAGAGAGAGAAAGAGAGAGAACGAAAACAAATAAGTAGCCGGAATTTATCTTTAACATGAAACATACATGGACCAGAATTGTTGACTACGGAAATACATAACGTCTTTCTCTCCTCAAATTAACTAATATTCTATGCATGTACTGAATGATTTAGTTCTTTACCATTGTGTCATCAGTGCCATAGAAAAAAACAGGAAAAGAAAATATATTTTTTTATCGATTTTCGATAACGAATCATTTGTTTGTTCTTTTACACGCGACGACAGTTATCAAAAGGATAAAGAAAGAAAAACGTCATTTTTTCCAATCTTCATCATGTTATCATTATGACGTGGGAGAGAGAGAGAGCTGTATGATTATAACAAGGGTTCAACATTCGTAGTATACTTGCCTCGGAAAACAAAAAAAAAAAGAATAGAAAATATTGAACATTAGTAGAAGGTAAGAAGAGTATTTTTTTATTGTTAACACAGATTTTATTAGAGAAGAAAATATTTCTTTATTGACAATTGAGTAGATGACCACATTGGACTCATATTAAGCAATAGTTGATAGAATTTACTTGTTCTCTATATGTACATAACATTTCTGACAGATCTTGTCAAAAAAAAGTCAAGCATATTTGTTGTTTAATTGTTGTTGATGTCCATGAAAAATCATCAAACAAATATTAAACCGATATAAAACAGACTGTATGTAGTATATCTTAGTATTATCATGGATATAGTGAGCTATTTTGAATAGGAAAATGTGACATATCACATAAGTTCAACATTTTCTTCTTTATTTGAGTTATCTAATCTGATTTGAATTGATTTTATTTTAACTTAGTTTGTGAGTGTTAATGATTTATAATTAATATATTTGCTCATTCTAATGGGAGAACATATAATAATAGTTTAAGATTGAAGAAAAATATACCATTAATTTGATCCAAAAAATCTCTCCCTATTTCGTATATACTGTATATAGGATACTTTCTTCTTGTTCTCTAACTAGACTAACTATATATTCAATTGCGTGAGTGTCTATATGCGTGTGTGTTCATTAATTGAAAGAAAAACTTTCCTTTTTCTCACTCTCTCTTGGTTTCTTTTTCTCGCCATTTTTCTATTTTCATTTTATGCCAACAATAGTCTTTTAACACGTTTAATATTGGCGTCATAGTGTATCTCGACTATATACTTGTGTGTTTTTTTTTTTTTATATAATAATATTCTTTACTAAACAATTATTCAACTTTTGTTCTGAAATATAGAAAGGCATACATAGTGTGTTCAACAAAATGAATGTATTTAACCACAATTTTCTCATTTTTTTTTTTTCTTCTTTGCGTTTTTCTGAACCGGTTATAGTATTCGTCGTGCGTTTATGAAACAAATGAAATTCCATTCACTTTAAATAAAAATGTTGACTCATGCATGAATTATATTAAGCATCATTGTTAGAAGAAAAAAAAAGAAAGAATTTGATTAATTGCTCGTAAAAGAAAACTAATTTGAAGTTATTTGGCTATTCTAATTTTTTTTTTTTTTTCATATTAAATATATTCAAATTTTAAATGAACGATTTCAGTGTGAAAAAAGGTAAGCAGACTATTTTTTTTGTTTTATCTCCAGATATTCAAAATCATTATCAAGTACACAAAGATATATCATACTTTTGACGAATAAATAATTGAATACCATTGGGATTTAAACGTACTCCATAGATGATGAAATTGTTTAGTGGTGAGATAGTTTTGTCCTTCAAAAGTCATTTCATATTTCCATTTTTGATAAAATAAAGATAAAATCATTCATTTTAATTAAAAAATATCATCACTTTATCTAATATTAGCAGATTAGTCCATTTTCAGAGATAGAAAGGCTGTTATTTGAAGAAGAGTAGTAGTTTGATGCGCGATATACACACCCATACGACAAAAGTAAAGAAAATCACCAAAAAACATGTATGAACTGTTTGTAACGTTTATATTGTCAATCTTATAAAGAGTTAGTTGTGTTTCTATTATGTAAAACTTCTGTGTTTAGTAGATAATAAACAAGAAATAATTAACGTTTAATCAACTAGCGTACGTATGTTTGCACATTTCTTTTTTGTCCTACTAGAGAGACTTGAGGCAACAGCATCTTCCATCTCTCACTATGTAGTTAAACTAATTGAAACAATTTGTCGTAATCAATACATTGATTTTTCTTCTTCTTCTTCTTTCTTATATCTAATAGAACAAAGTAAGAAGAAGAAAGAGAGAAGAAGAAAATGTGACATTGAAAGTTGTTAACGATAAAAATTACCTTAATATAGTTGGCATTTCTCAGTTACTATACGCAACAATGAAACTATAACACTATATTTGTGATTGTGGGTTTTCCAGTTATCGAAGATAAGAAAAATAATAAACTACTTATATCAATGACGAGCTTATTAGTAGTACTCTATAGTTAGGATTTAATTACATATCAAATAATCACAAGTGAACTTTGATTTTTATTTTTTACAATCTATCACTTAATTATATGAGCCACATTTTCTTTGTTTATTTATAAAATAGCTATTACTAAAGGAAAAATCAAATATGTTCTGATTTTAGAAAATCAGTTAGTGATAGACTTATTTCCTTCATGCTAATATAATCGACACACATACACACTTTGTAGAAGTTATATAATTCAAAATAGTTGTATTACTAGTCTATTGAACGATTTTCTTATAATCGAGACTATACTATGTATCTTTATATCTCATGTATTTGAAGAAAAGAGAAGGAGGAGAAATATGCATTGATAGTGAATATTCTGATTTCTGCAGCAGTTGTGTAACATGTCGGTTAATTCAAAAGACAAGTACATGTATGTTTTTATTCATTCACAAATGATCGACCATATTTTTAACGCTAATCGTCTCAACGAACGTTTTCTCCGGTCTCTTTTTTTTCTTTCTTCTTTTTATCAACTTTTTCAATCTAAGTCGATGCCTAGAGATAATATTTTTAAGAGAATGTGTGTGGTGGTATCAATTGAAACACACACACACATAAAAAGAGCATAAGATGTAAGGAAAATCATCATCATCATCATCATCTGTTCTTCTCTCTGTAGTTGTAGTTAGTATAGAGTAGAGATAGACAAAGAGAAGTAACTTTCTCGCTCTCTCTCTCTCTCTCTCATTTTCTGGTTTTAACATCATTGTAAGATGATGTTGGCGATAATGGGAGCGATAATGTCCTGATTCAAGTTCAAACCTGAATATAAGCGTAAAAACACGAGAAGCATAATTTTAAGAGATAATTTAATATAACATAACACACACAAAGCTTCCTTAATAACGAAATAATTTTGTTTCTAAGTTAAGAATCCTAAACAAAGATGGAAGATATATATAATTTTGATAGAAAATAATCTATAATTAGTTTCATATAGTTTCTCTGACATAGATTAAAAAGATTTTTGTCCTACATTATTCAAAAGCCATAAAAGTTATTGTATATATAGTTAAAAATATTATTGAGAGATAATCCTTACGACGCTCTGTTTTATTCTCAAAAATGATATTAATTCTTATTGTATGTAACCTATAATTTTTGTAACATTTCATATAATCAACCTCAAATATATAATATTAAGATTCTACAATAATTCCATATTTTTCCATTATTAAATTATAGAATTATGCGAAAAAAAAAGTGTTCGATAGCAATATTGTTTATTTAGAAATAAATATATGATAGGATAAATAGGTTTGATTTATAGAGGATATAGACAGGATATTATTATTAACGTTTCTATCAACAATCTCATACTACAGAGACATTATAAAAATCTTGCTGAAAAAACAAATAAATTACTAGGTTAGAATCAATAATAAAAAACTGAAACTAAGATAACATTAATATATTGACATCTATTAAACATTTACTTCTTTGAAAATGATTAGCTACTGTTTATTTTCTTCTTTTTTTTTTTTTTTTGTTTTTTAATTTTAGAATTCATTTGTTAGACATAATTAATGTCAATGTTATTGAAAATGTTGTATATGTACAACATTTAAAATATTATGGAACTTGTTAGACAATTAACAGGTTTATCTGTTTCACATCTAAGACAGTTTCGAGATGATGATTCATACGTTGATCGTTTAAGTCATCGTTATACAACGACATTATGTGTCGTATTTGCCATATTAGTTACGACAAAACAGTATGCAGGTAAAAAATTTAGAAAATTTAAAATTGTTTATAGTTTAAATATATATTTTTTAAATTTAGGTGATCCTATTGATTGTTGGGTTCCAGCGCAGTTTAAACAATCATACGAATCATATACCGATAGTTATTGTTGGATAGCTAACACATATTGTACGATTTAAACCTTTTAATATTTAAATTATTTTATTATTAAATATTTTTTAAATTAATTTTAGATATTCCAATAGATCAAGATCTACCAGATGATGAACTCGGAAGACGGAATAAAGATATTGTAGGTATTCATAGACATTCTTCTATTAATTTTGTTTTTGCATTTATTTATCATAATTAGAGACCTGCACAGGCAAGATTTTTCGCCCGTGCTCGTTCGTGTCTGTAGTTCTGTCCCGGGTGCTTGTCCGTGCCTGTCGGTGACTTTTTTTCACTGCCTGTGCAGAAAAAAACATTTTTTTCTCTCTGATGTGTCACAGACGTGATGTTCTTTTTGTTGTAAAATCGCTACCCTTCCGACCGTGTCTTTTTCGAGCCTGCCCGTACCCGTCCATGCTCGCGACCACGAGAATTCGCGCGTTCGTGCAGATTTCTAATTATAATATCTATTCTCACATCGTTAATTTACACGTCACAGGCTAGAATGATGAAACCGGATATAATAATGAAAAAATATGATAGATTTTAATACATAAAAGTTTTAAGATCGAGACAATCAGAGTAGTTTTCTGAACAGTAGTCACTATTGTTATTACTTTTATTCCCTGTTTTAGCTATATTATCAATGGGTACCATTTATTCTGTTATTTCAAGCATTTTTATTTTATTTTCCACGAATTGTATGGCGAACGTTAAATGTTAAATCAGGATTAGATTTAGTTAATTTAGTTGACGCAGCTATTGTAAGTGATAAATTTTATTTTTTTGAATTGATTATTTAAATAAAAAGAATTTATTTTTAGAAATATGAACAAGTTGAACAATTTGAATCACGAGAACGTATTATGAGTTATTTAATAATAAATATTGAACGTTATATAGCTGCACGTGCCCAATTAACACGTCGCCGTTTTGAACGTCCACTCTATTGTTTTCGAAAATTTTTACGTCTTTTCTTATTTTGTTCAAATCGTCATTATGGAAATTATTTAGTTGTCGTCTATTTTATTGTTAAATTAATGTGGTTGGTTAATGCATTAGCTCAATTATTTTTACTGAACGCATTTCTAGGAAATGATTATTATTTATTTGGTTTTGAAGTAATTGAAAAATTATTTAAAAATCAACGATGGACAGAAAATCGACATTTTCCAAAAGTGACTTATTGGTAATTTTTTTTCTCAAAAAAAATATAAATTTTAATTATTACATGTATTGTTTTTACTTTTCTTTAGCGATTTTAAAATACGTGAAATTGGTATCAATCATTTCTATACTGTACAATGTGTGTTAAGGATTAATTTATTTAATGAGGTGATATTTATAATACAATGGTTTTGGTTAATATCGATTAGTGCAGCAACAATTTATGATTTTCTATTATGGTTGTACTATTGTGCAGTGCCAAGTAAGACATTTAGAATGACAATATTTTAAGATCAAAAGATTTTGACAAGTCTGTTTCTACTTTTGTTTTTTTTCCCCATAAAATTTTTCAATGAAAGGTTACTAGACATAAGAATCTTATCTTGTATAGATCATTATACTTGTTATTCTATAATCGAGTTTTTGAGATGAAGTAGCACTGTTAAAATGGGGCAGCGTATTTCGTCAAGCACTACTATACGTCAATCCTAATTAGTATTATATAAAAGAATAAATTTTTCTTTGATGACAGGACTAAATAATAAATTAATGGAAACAAGTATAAACGATTTGTTGTTGTTATTATTACTATTATTATTTTTATTCGTTTTTTTTTTTTTTGTTTTTCAGGAGAAAAGGTTCATTTTATTAAACGTCATCTTGGCATTATGTCCGCATATAATCCACATGATGAAAAGCAACAAGCTAGAGAATTTGTATTACATTACTTAAAAGACGATGGAGTTTTTGTTTGCCGTTTATTAGCTATTAACGCTAGTGATCTTGTTGTTACAGAAATAATTAATGAACTATGGAAACGATATAAGACACGTTCATATAATTTTAGAGATAACAGAGATACGTTTCCAAATGGTGGTGATAATAAACCTCATACGACTACACAACAAAAAATAATCACAACTAAAATACCGCCACCTCCACCTCTACCACCATTACCATCATTTCGAACAACAACAACAATGGGTGAAAAAACAGATCCGACAGCCAAAGATACGGATGTATGATGCTGAGTAATTAAGTGAGAAAATCTGCAAACGGCTAAACAAGATGCGTGACGAGGAGATTAAAATTTTGCAAACCGTCTGTGATACCTCTTCTTCTATTAGAATAAAACGATAACAAATCAAGAATACAACATCAGTAGTCGTTTCCTTCCATCCTGAGTGTGTGATGTACCGTCTACGTTGTCTTACATGGCGCTATTATTTTCTCAGGAATTATCGACAGTCGCCGATATACATATGTACTCAACAGTTAGAATCTATTTAGTCTGTAAAAATATATACGACAAATTTTTGGATTTTTATTTTATATTTTCTTTTTATGGTGCCATTTATTCTTCTACGTTTTTTCTTGAAAAGATATATAGATTTATATCAAATAGGATAGAATATAAGCAAAATATTATATTTATAATTGAGTAAAACGAGATAGTTATCTGATCACAAACAAATTTATTACTGAGAAAGTTGTGTTCATATGTATTTGATACAATTCAAAATATTTCATTAATTCAATAATGGCAGATTTTCTACATTTCAGACAATTTCCAGAAATCTCCATTTTTCCTTTAAATTTTAGGATAATTTCTTCAGAGCTATAAGATCAAAGGTTAGAGTGGTTCTAAAAAAGGCATTCTAAGAAATGTATAGAATTTTATGTGACTACTGCTTTAATCTATTCTCTTCAAGTGAGAGACAATCTGAAATGTACAGAATTATATGTGACTGCTGATTCTTTTTTTTGTACTGGAATATATTTTGGTCATAAAAATCATAATTTCGAAATTGTAAATCAATTCTGCCACAAAATCGCAAAATTCCGGTGAAATTTCAAGTGAACTCAACGTGAAATTCTTATTTTAGCAAAGTATATTTTTGTGTGTTTGGAAACGTGTATGTGCATGGTGAGTATGAGAGCGAGCGATTCAATCACATTTCAACTTGTCTTTCACTTGAAGAAAACAGATTAAAGTAGCAGTCACAAAAAATTCTATACACTTCCTAGAATTCTAGAGAAATGTATTACGATGGCTCGATCACTGGTAAATGGAAATTTGTGGAAATCTACGTAAAATGTTTGAAATGTAGAAACTCTGATATTCCTCCGTTAGTTTGAATTTTAACAGAAAAATATCATAAATTCAATTCAATGTCGAATGAAAAGGATTGCGTTGACTTTAGGACAAAAGCCTGATAAAAAGATGTTTTGTCTCTAATCTAAGTAAGGCATCTGGTATATGCTAGATAAACTTTTAAACTGTGAAGTGAGTACACTGAGATCTATAACTTCCTCACGATGCATCGTGGAGTATTTGTAATCAGTTCTATAATGGAACAGTCTATGCGCTCTTTAACAGTTTACTTTTCTTACAACTTGCGGCGCAGGAACGTGTAATTTGGTACATATGAGTACAACAGCAGTTGATAACATTTTCTAATTCCAGAGCTATATCATTTAATGAAAAGACTCTTGGTTACTTAAAAAATTTACATAAGTGTTGATGATTTTTTTATGAGTACTCGTTACATTGCTCTTGATGCGTAATAATTTAAATACTTACGTTTGGGTGCATTCACTAAAACAGTGCTTCATCCGATATTGAATGTCCATGTTTGCAGATTGCATAATAATATTTGACTACTAAAGTTATATGAGAAAACATACTAATTAACCTTGTGGTAACATTTTCCTTTTGGCAGAAAAGTCATAGTTCAAACTTTCATTGTTAGTTTTAATTTTAATTTTTCACTAAACTTAGTACTATCCATTTTAAATTAGAACAAAATCGACTGTTTTCTACTTTTTGAACGAAAAGTGCTAAAGACCTGGGGTTTCTGCCATTCAAAAGTGGGAGCAACGAGTGATCTTACCATATGCATACAAGATTTAAAAAGTTTTATCAAAAACAGTTTTTCTATAGGATCCTAGAAAATCACATTATGCCTCAAAAATGTTCAATAGCATTATATTGATTTCTGAATATCCTTTTAAAAATGGGAATCATACGAGTTTTTGATTTTTCGTCGTTTTGACGTGACACCGGTTTTTCCTGAAAAACTGGAGCTGGTATCTCGGCGATTGTGATAATAACTACATAGATTAGAGATAATCATGTTGAGTCTCTTGGCAGTATTTGTTTTCAGAAAACTTAGAACTTAAAAAAATACCAAATTTTGGCTGTTTTCACCAAAAATCAAAGAATTCATATTTCATTCAGAATTACTTCAGGTTACTTGAAAACTGCCTGACAGACTCAGTTTTAAATGCTAAACATACATTCATAACTTAAAAAATGAAATAAGGAAATATTTGTTGATAGAGATTTCTTCTCAAAAACCAATTTTATTTCAGCCGTATTTTCAGTCTTAGGGTCAGAACGAAAGTATTTCCTTATCATTAATGTTTTTCCTCGATAGTGTGTGATAGATAGAAGAAATCTCAAAAGTGACTTGACGGGTTGGAAAAGTTTACTAATCAGAAGGCATAGATCACAAAGTTTATCAAAATGACTGAACACTGGTTTTTAGAAAAACCAAACTGCAGAAAACCAAGTTCTTGAGGTTGGTGGAAATATAGGCTCTCAATCACCATGTTGTTATTGTTATTAGTAATGGTCAAACAGACCAGACAAAACGAAAACGAAGTTTTTGACCTACACTTAATTAGGGTTAACAAATTTGTCACGCATTCGCTGGTAGCTGCCACGGATGCTACATTATTTCATCCACGCTCAGTACAATCAAAATAGTATTAATTCGCAACACACCTCATTCAAACAGTAGTTCTTGAATCATTGATTGAGCTCTTTCAGATGAAAGAAGAGCCAGTATATGCTGATCAAAGATTATTATCGATGATGATATTTTCACCATTTATGATATCTACTCTTTGTATTGAATGTGGAGATTCACAATGTCATATAGAAAAGTTGTCAATAACGTAAATGATGTCGTTACTTATATCAATAAATTTGTACTAAATCATCCATCCTTAATCGTTACTTAAAATAATTATATATATATATATATATATATAGCCAGTATGTTTAAATTACTTGAAGTTTTTATGCACGAATGACAATAAACAAGCTCATTGAATGTGTCGATCTGTGTTTTTCGCGATACAAATACGCGATTTTCGAAGAATATCCATTCAAATATAGCAGAAGTTTTCAACAATCTAAATATGGGTCTATACAGTATTTACTATCCGTAGAACCTATTGAATCACTAGTCATTCTTTTTTTCATCCACCTTTTTTTTAATGTAAAATATATAAAATATAACTGAATGATAAAAGTTTGATAAAAAAAATCCTTATTTTCTATGGCTATTTAATACAAAGTGCATCGACTAATAGTAATCATGAGATCGTGATTAACACACGATGTACTTATGTCCATGGTTCTGCTGTATTGATGGTTTGTTACTGATAAAGCCGATCGTATTATCCCCGGGTATTATTACCCCCGGTTATCCACATGTGAGTACATTAATCATATCAAAAAGTTTGTCCATGACTCACTAATAAGTCCAATATTAATTAACGTTCAAAAGAAATGTGGTACTACTCAAACTTGATGGCTGGCACGTACCATATTAGTTCTACTCATTTGCAATATTATATCAAATATTTGTCTGAGTTCAACAAAGATTTATTATAACTTAAAGTCATGAAAATTTCAATCAACTCTCATACGTTTTTAGACACAACATTAAAACCCTTTTTATTTTTGATATTACTTGTCAAGGTTAATGCGTTTTATCGCAATTCATGCACTAATAACGATGGTGAAAATGTCACTTTTTTTCTCCTTTATAACGGAAACTACTCGGTTTCTCTCTCCCTTTTTGTATTAAAATTAGATATGAACGAAAAAAAAAGGGGTTATTGTTGTTATTATTAGGTTCATTTATGATTTTGTCTTTCGTATGTATGTAACATGATACTATTCGTTCAATCCTATGAGTTTTTGTATTATTATTATTTTCACAAAACAATCTGTTGCAGGTGTTTGCTCTTTCTTCAATAAAAAAAAAGAGAAAACTAATTACTTAATATTTGCCGACTCGTCATACAGGGTATGTCGTTTCATACTCAATATTTAATTTGATCTATCCTTTCAAGTGTTTGTTACACAAAATAATTAATAACAAAAAATAAATTGAAAATTTATATAGTCAGAACAATGTAGTTTGATAAAACAGTTAATTGATTAACGATTATTTTTCTTTAGTGCATTTTGTCTCTGTCTAAAACAACATTTTAAAATTCTTCGCAACGCATATCGAAAATCTTTATTTGAAAAAAAGTAAAGAAATGGATTAATAAATGTATTGGCATACGTTAACCACCAAGTTTTCCGTAATAAACTATTTGATACACATTTTTGACAAAATCGTTGAATTGGCCAAGCGATTGTGAACGGGAGCCATAAAACAAGAAAAACAAATATTAATACCCCAAGTGTTCTTGCTACTCGTCTTTGTTTAATTAAACGCATTTTTTGTTGTTGTCGTCTTTCAGCACTTCGTTGACGCTGTAATAACGAATCACTAGTCATGGCTCGTCGATATGTTGAATTACGATGATTTTGATGTTGCCATCCTGATGTATAGAAGAGTTTTTTTCTAGTACGCATCTGAGAATTTTCACGAAATTCTTTAAAACTTCCTTTCAACTGATTTGAATTTCCCAAAACGCTACTTCGTGTTCGTCCTAGCCAAACAATAGCATGAACAGCACGTCGAAATTTATGTGATTTTTCAACGGATAGTGTAGGTGGTGGGTTAGTAAGTGGTAATGTTTGAATTGGAGCAGAATCTTGACGTGAGATACGATATTTTCCTCTTTTCGTATTGCTGTTATTTGGAGAACGAAGATTTGTAAAACTTGCACAAATGATATTTGTACTATTGACAAAATTGATGTTGTTACAACTGCCAATTGAACGCTGATGATAGGTGGATGTAAGACTAGGTGTTGAATCGCGAGTAGGTGACAAAGCGTGAAGAGAACCTTTATCGTATCCATTATTTGAATCAACTTCGGTTAGCCATACGGAAAGACGACTCATCTGTCCATGTAACACACGAAAAATTTTCACATACAAAACAATCATTCCGATCATGGGAACAAAAAATAGCACAATCGTTGTTAATAGGACAAATAAACCTGGAGCTTGAAAGTAACATCCGTCAGCGAGGAGAGGAGTATAGCCAGTGTAACTGCGACCAAGAACACCTAGAATAAAAATGTCTCATTCATCATCCCAATATTTTATGATAAAAGTAAATTTCAGTTTACCGGGTATCCAGACGAGACATGGAATCAACCATGTTAAAAATATAAGTATAAAAGCACGACGAGACGCTTCCTTTTTCCGATCCATTTTGGACTCAATAAGATAGAGATAACGATCTAATGCGATTGCCGATATTGTTAGAAATGAGACAGTACAAAATAGTAGAGAACAACATGTCCAAGCATTACATAAACGAATGCCAAATTTCCAGACACCATAGATCTCCCAAATGGATATGAGAGGAATCACGGTAGTGCCAATTAGAAAATCAGCAGCAGCTAAATTGATAATTAAATAGTTGCTCACCTAAAGTGCAACGTATATTATTAATGAAATTAATCAGAGTATAATATTTAATACGTACGCCTTTTAAACGTGGTTCAACACGTATCGCTATTATAATGATCGTGTTTCCAATAACCGTGATAGCCGTTAAAATACCGAAACCGACAATTTTCTCAATCATTATCCAAACATTTTAAATTGGATAATTTGATTAATAGTTAGACTATAACCTAAGATATATAAAGTCAGTTTTCGATGTGACATTAAACATAAATGCACGTAACTATCTTTTCCTTTTCCTTCGTTCATATATAATGTCTTTTTATAAAAATACTTTTAAACGGAAATTTTTGTTTTTCTTTCCTCATAGTGATTCGAGTCGTTGGTATTATCATTATAAGAAAAGAAATTAAATGAGAAGAATAGTTATTTCTAATTTTTCTCACAAGAATAAAAATCATACATAATAATTTTAGTGGTTTCGTTGTTTGTCATTAATAAGCAACAAAGCAAACGAGAGAGAAAAAATTGGTTACCGCACTTCATCAAAATTAGACATAGATTTTACACGTTTTATATATTTGTCACGTTAGAAGAGAGGCAAAGAGAGAGAGAAAGCAAGTATTGGTGCACTAAATTTAAATCTTTAAAATAATTCATAAATAAAAATAGATAAATGGTAACAAATTGCCTGCTCTAAAGAAAAAATATCTTTGTTTTTACATATGATAAGTTACTAACTTATTTCTGCAAAAAACAGTAGAATCAATAATCTAGATGAGGTATTCTAATAACCGAACTGTTGCATTCCGCTACCCGTATTTACTTTTGTTGGACATAAACTTAAGATTATTTTCGTTTTGAAAAGCAGACGAGAAAGTTTTTCCGAACTATAGATTAGCATATACTCCATTTAACAACTCTTGAGCTTTTACATTTAGCCGTTCCCATACTGGAAGTCTATTTTTAAGTGCTTGATTGCGTTTCATTACGGTGACTCTATAACAAAAACACGCGTTCTTCAGACTCCGAGGAAAATTTCTTCATCGAGAGACTGGCTTGTGTAACTCTGACTGGCTAGTATCTGCGATGAAGATATTTTAAAAGGTTCATTTGCTCTTTTCATCTCATTTTTATTTCATAGTAACAAGTTGTTGATCTATATGAATCGCACGCAGTTCCAAGACGAACATAGCTATTGATCTAATTTTTTTCCTTGTTTTTAGCTTCATTTTCACCTAAATATCCCCAATGCATAATCCGAATTTCATTTTGTTTTTCCCCAAATCAGTATGACAATTCCCCAAAAAGCTTCTACAGAGCTAGGTTTCACAAAAAAATAAGTAGCTACTACACTTTTCCGTCATTTCGGATGCTCTACGCGATAGACAATTTTCATGGTTGGCACGTAATGGTGGGTGGAACATCATGGAAAAACCCAACCATTACAAATCGCAAAGTAAAATATAAAAATTGAAATACAATATACTTGTAAATAATTCATAACAGTAGATAATCGTCAAAAATCTTGTTTTGAATGATATAAGTTTTTGCTACCGTTTCTAATATACACTCAAAAAACGCTTACTTTTAGTGTCAACACAACTTCAAAAGTGCACTTTTCTTACTAGAGGGAGTTCTTCCTTTTATCATCTTATTCCATTAAACTATATTCACGAATAAATACTATGTAAAATCTATAATTTATTTCTATTCTTTACTTGTTTAATCTTCTCATCTACAATCTGAGATTCTTTGCTATTAGAACTAGAACACAACTGCATACACAAACATTGAAAATATAAAAAAGAGAGTATCTTTATTACACTGCTTACTGCTTCTCACGTCCACATCGTCATATACAGCAGAAGACTCACCAGCAAAAATTCAGAACGTTAGCTTGATGCAAGATCCATGGCACTGGATTTCGATTTGATTGTATATTTGTTCAATATCATGCAGTTAGTACTAGCGTTAGAAATCCAGATAGAGAAATTGATTTATGCCTTACACAGTGAAAAAACCCGTGTAATAAAGCGTGAAATCGAAAATCGTACGAAAAAAACGTTCAGAAACCGGTGGAGTAGAACACCGATGAGAACAAGCATGAATTTGAAGTCCTAAAGAAAAAACGGTAAGTTAAAATACGTAAAAGTCAAAATTGTGAAGAATAGTCGTAGAGTTGGATATTATAAAATAAAATTCGTAGAAAAATCCTTGGGAAAAAACGTAGAATTGATAGAAGAAGGTACAAGAGAAAAATCCGTGAGCGTAGATGTCATTCTTCTCGTTTTTCTATATAAAAGCTGTTCGCTTCTATTTTTCTCTTCTCTCGGTGCACAGATCATTAAAACGAGTGGGAGGAGGGAAAAATTTTTGCGAGTTAATTTGTCTGATTAGTCAAAGTAGAGTGTGTGCACATTCTTTTCTGTCGCAATTTTCATACGAAAAAAAGTATTTACTAAAAATTCTTTCACAAGAAAGCGTGAACGAAAGACAACGGAAAAAATTTTTAGAAGATGGTTTAGAAGAAAACCGTGAGCTAATAAAAGCATGAAGAATATCGGTAGGAAAACGGTATAAGAAACGGGGCTTGAGAATCGTGAACGAAAACCGTGAGATTTTCTACGTTTTTTTCGCCATATAGAAACTATTTTTTCTACCAAAAACTACAAAAAATAAATTAACTAATGAGATGATGGAGACAAATGTACAAAAATATCTAGTAGTAAAAAAGTACGAAGAAGAAAAGTTGATGAATATTGCCGAACAGCTGCAACACGAAAAACAATGACATTTTAAATAAAAACTTTTATTTGCAAATGATCTGTTGCTTTCTTTATCTTGTTTCACACACTGTAACCGAAGGATTTTTGCTAGTAAGGTACTATCTTTAAAAAAGAATGAAAAAAGTATTATAATAAAAAGAATGTTCTTTGTCAACGTGAACCTTTTCTAACTATGCTATTTGGTTTCTTAAATCTTTAAGTGCATTATGTAGAAATAGAAATACCTCTTTTCTTTGAATAAAGTTCTATAGACGGAAACGCCATAGAGAACCATATGTGTATTTAGTGGATTAGACTTAAATAGTAACCATGCATTTTGAATGTTTCACGCAATTCTGCGATAATCATTTAGCTTTTTTTCTCATTTTAATACGAATAAAAAGAAAGTGTTCTCTCTTGCGGAATAAGAGACAGTCTTGACAGAGACAAAATCTGTTGAGCAACTGAACCTCAGAGAAATAAACAAAACAAAAGGTCAGTTTTGAGTTATGTTTTGGAATATTCAGAGATGAAACTCGAATAGGCTGGTTTTTTCTTTCAAATCTCGTGTATGTACATGTCCAAAATGAGATCGAAACTTATGAATAATTAGATAGCTCATCGAGAACTTTTATTAAGCGTTTTGATACTATCACACTCCAGGTGCGATTTTTTCTTTTTTTTCTTTTACCAGCTGGAAACTGTATCATTAGTATTTCGATGTGTTAAAGTTGAAATATCTTTTGTACATTTTAGAACAGAGCTAAATACTGGTTCAGAGGCACACAAAAGTAATGAAAGTTTAGGCTCAACTCACTCTTTTTCTATTTGTTGATGGGTTAATATAGAGGAAAAATTTAATCTGTCATATATCGACAGACATCTACGACCAGACACAGAATACTTAAAAGAATACTAAGAACTTAATAAATAAAAAGTTATCTTTTTTCTACAATATAGAATTGCCCACATCTGACTTGAACAGAACAAAACAAATATAGTACAGTCAGAAAATGGAGACAATAGAGGGAGACATTTGTCGCATATGACATCGAACAAACGACATGTGCGAAAAGAGATATCTGTTTATTTGTTAAATTGCTGTAGAAAATAGAAAAATAATGTAAGAGCTGCGATGCAGAGAGATGAATTATTTTTTCGACAAAGGACATTTTCATGATATAACGCTCTAGATCTCAAATAAATCTGGTATCTGAGAATAAAAAATGTAGTTTTCAAAAAATATTGAAACAAAAAGCTGAAATTAAATTGTAATGAAAGAAACATCTTCATTAGAACCCAAAGTTGTAACAACTTTGGTTTCAAGTTTATTTATCAGTTAGGATTCTGATTAAGTAGTCTTAATTTCTATCTTCTTCATTATCTGCTTAGATCAGTAACACATTACCAAACTAGTGAGATGAATGAGATGATGTAAATGGTAAGTCACTACTTTTAATGAAAGATAGGAGACGTTTGCATACCTAACAGTCTATAATTAGAGGATCATAATCATTTAACATTTCACTGGCATCATTTACAAACTGATTACAGGCTAGTTTCTTCACAAATGCGCAAAATCCGATATTGTGTGTGACGGTTCTTCATCACAATCGCTTCACCCGATATGTACATATTTCTCATCTTCGTAGCTAGCTCGTTTTTCCTCTCTTTTTTTATTTTTCTCTCGTTCTTATCTTTGTTATACAGTAGATATATGTAGTAGCTGGTTTTGTTTTGAAAAAGGAATATTAGTATTGTTTTTTTTTTAAAAGGAGTAAAATAATAAAGAGTAGTATATAAACTATACTTGCATCTTATTTATACGGCACTGTATCAAGGACTTAAAAGTAAAAGTTTTCATGTTGTGGTCTAACAATTAAGTTTAACATACATTTTTACATTTGTCGACATTGTAATTAACTATTGTTACAAAAACAAAAGTAGAGAATCACGATAAACAAGAAATAAAATGTTATTTGTTAAAGAAAAGCTAATTTTTTCCATTATTTTTCTTTCTATGTCGATAAAATTGGCACCTATGCTGCTTTTTCATAAATTTTTATTACTTTTACCTAGTGACTATTTTTGACAGAAAAAAAATAAAAACTTTCTCATCGTTTTTCTTTCTTTTCCTGCTATCTATCATTTGGAAAACAACAACAATTAAATTATATCAGAAAATATAAGTTGATATTTATAAGAAAATTTTTTTTATATTGACTGTTCTTTGATTCTTTTGAACGAAAAGAGAGTAATTACATTAATATGAGAAAAACAATTCATGCGCAGTAAACACCACAAGACGATCGATTATATGTCATATATATAAAAAATTTAGCATAAGGTGGAAAAAAATACATATTTGGTTTATTTTGCATGAAATACAGATCAACTATCAAAATTTTTAGTCACGCGAACATAAAAAAGCACAACGCAACTTTTCAAACGATTATAAAGAAAGAAAATTACTTGAAAGAAGATAATAGTTTTGGCGACATGATAAAGGAAATCAAAGATCCGAAACAACATGGTTTTTATTAGTCATGTACTTTAAAAATACTACATATAAATATCGGTGTCGTGAAGTTGTGGAATTACCTTGAGCAAATCACTCATGTCTAGATCTGACAGCATATCTACTAGGTTATCATGTACAACGTCACCCCTCTGGCTCATGAGAACACTCGTACATGGCTAGTAAATGAGTATGGAAAGCTCAAACAATTGGATGGAAGAATCCTGCATCAGACTAGCCTCTTGTTTAGAGCTGTAGTTGATGACTAATAACGGCATGAATGACCGTGTTAGAAGCTGATCATTTGCCGGAAGGATATAGTCTACTCGAAGCTGATAATTCTCTCAGCGGTCTATCAGTATACCATATCCGTTATAGTACCTTCAACGTGGGATACTCTTCTTCGTCTTCTAAGGCTAGAGATAAATTGACTAGAACTTCCACTCGACTTTTTCTATAGATATAATCCTCTTGAAAGATTAAAAATTTTTTAGTTCATTAATTTTCAGTCAAGTCAAGACACCAAGCGAAACCTAAAGAAAGGATATAACTACGAATCTGTTCTGATTCTACGTTAAATTGAGAAAAAACGATAAGTTGAACGATTAGATACCATAGCTTTTTCATGGCATAGGCTGTTATATGTCGATTATTAGAAAATGTAATTTAATGAAAAAAATTGTCTTCTATGTTCAAATCAAAATAAACCAATAGACTTAAGTATGTTTACAAAGTCTGATGTACTATTTGCTTACCATCATACTAATTTGTTTTCCGGCACTATTTCCTAATTTGGTTTTACTTAACAATCTATGATCTGTCTATTTTTGCTCCAATTTTATTTAATTAGATTATGGAGACGTGAAATTTCAAGTACATCTGTCGTTCTTTGTTCTTATTGCTGTTATTCTATTAAAATCAGGACTAAAGAATGTCGTTTCATGATCCATATATGATGCTTACTATCATAGATTATCGTTTTCTCTCCTCCCTCTCAATCGGAGCAGCTTCCGTTATGTCTAATACAATAGAAGAAGAAAATCGCTCCCTAGGCTATTAAATGCCGTTCTTAATAGAATTTAATGTTGTTCAACATTTACAATAATATTTTTTGGATAATTTATCCCATAAAAATATCGAAGAATGATCGATTTACACATTCCGTTCTGTAAAAATATATCAGAATAGATCTTTGAATATTCATTATCCAAATAAGAAGTACATATACGGTGGACTGTATATTAAAGAAAGAATGTAGTGCATTGTGAACGGAAGCAGGATCTTTAAATAAACTAAAACATACGAGATCTTTTAAATTTCATATGAAGAATGTGCTTCCATATAATTACTTGTCCAATTACTATTAAAATATTTTGTCTTAATGTTTCTGAGATTTTTCGCAAGTAAATCAACTACTAAACCGCAAGTACCTGTAAAAGTATCAGGCGAGTACTTTCAGATACTTGGCTATAACAAGTAATGATCAAATGGCATTTTACAAAACTATGCACTAAATTTTCATAACATCTACTAAACGCTTACCTATCCAGGACGTTGAAAACGGTGTAATTTATTGTCTATTCAATATCTATTCACAGCCCATAAAATGCGGCTTAAATGACATTTTTTAGTTAGTTAACAGCGTTTTTTTGGCCATTTTTTGGCATTATAACTGGGAATGTATTAATGCTTACAAGTGACATTTTTATAACGGTTGAGAAACAGACTGGAAACAGTCATTTAACAATGACTAATCTTAATGGCCATTTTCGTGTAATTATTGTCTATTTATGGCTAAGTATCTGAATGTTGATCATGACGCATTTCTTTTGATTACTACGATGAAATCAATGACTACACAAATTTTCGAATATTTTTGGTTCGTCAGGTATATTCGGTGCTATCACTGCCAAGATATCTAAAACCATGAGCTACTTAATCGACACAAGTTTCTATGACTGGTGTAGTCGATGAAGAACAAAACTCTACGTTTTCTATGAGTAAACAATGTAAGATACATCAGTAGTAAGGTCAGCGAAACAAAATGGTGAATTAAACGGTAAACGTTAAATGTCCGTTTTTTGTCTTATTATGTAATGGTCATAAAATAGTCAATAAAATGCCGTTTAATAATCATCTCAATCAGAGCCTTACTAACATACAATTAATTGCTTGTTTTTAGGCCATCATTAACGGTCAGATGATGAAGAATAAATGATGCCTGTAGCTGTCCGTTTTTTTACTATTAAATGCCTGTTGAAACCCGGTTGTTAGTCATTTGGTTAACAGGCCATTCATGTGCTATTAAATGTCATTTGCTTCTGACTTGGATAGTGAAGATTCTACGATAATCCAGACTTGTAAAAAAGAACTCGGAGTTTTCGTTGTCGAAATATTTCACCTTTAGTTTTGCATAGGCAAGAATTATAAATAAACCATATTCTTTTCAAAAGAACTTGTAGAATTTTTTCTTAATGAGTAATCACTAAAGTGTCAGTGGAAGTCGCTGTAGCATCAATGCGAGTAATAGCAAGCAAAAATCTAATTAAAATTTATGAGAAGATAAAAAATACTAGAAATCTACAAGAAAAATTGCAAAAAATCGCTGAAAAAAAAATGCTTCCTGAAAAATCTGGCAAAGTTCCAGTGGCAAATTTAGGGATGGTGCGATCACACACACCGCTTCAAAATATATATTCCTTTGATAGCTGTAGATGGAAGCACATTTACAAATATTGAAAGTTGACTGGAGGACCTTAGGCATCTTTTAATTGGACGGTATATATCAATCAACGAGCGATCCAAATTAGAATACTGAATACTTTGAGCAAAAATATATATGTGCGTCTACGTATCTACAAAAGGTACAAAAACAGGTAGTATATTCGATCCCGGAGGGGGAGTATGTTCGTAATTAAAGAAGAAGAATCTTGGTTTCTTGTGTGACGCATACGTAATAATAGTATTCTGCACGAAATAGTTTATCGAAGGTATACTACGTTATCTGATCTAGAATCGAACAGTTGTACGCACGATCAAACTATCACTTATTTTTGTCCTCAATGCCCTGATTTTCTGCTATTAAATAATAATAATCACAATGATTATTAGCATGATTTAATGCTGTTATTCTCTTGGTTTTCGTTTATTTTATTGACTATCGGACATTTCCAGGTAGTTATTAGCTCATCCTCAGTGCAAATAGCAGCATTAAATCGCTACGATAATATTTTGATTATTATCGTTCAACAATTGAACATACCTCGTATCTCAATATTGGAATGAATGAATGATTTATTCACGAAAAGTGGGAGTCATCAAAGATCTCCGATCTATAATAACAATGACTCGAGCCAAACAACAACAAAAAGAATCTGTAAATAGAAAAATAACAATAAAAAGTAAACTAGTGTACGAAGCAGAGAGTCAGCACGAGTTGCTATTGTTAAATTTGACTTTTTATAATCATCTGCCGGTAAAAAAGCTTGTGAAAAAGTTCTCAGGACAGAATAGTATTATGTCACGACATTTGACAGTGTTGAAATCCTTGGTAATGATTATATGTGTGCTTATTTTTTGTAACACCCTTGTTTGTTTACTTGTTTAGATATAAAATATGGCTAATACAATAGGTAGGTATATTTTAGAGTAATTCATAAACATTCAGCAGACCATTCAAATTTAGATCTATCACAATTACCAGCTGATGTAAAAGATTATATTGAATCGCTTCAAAGTCAGTTACTCGCTATAACAAGCGCAGCTGAGTTTGCTGAATCAACAAAAGTTGCCGAAATTGCAGATATACGACAGAAACATCAACAAGAATTAGCCTCAATAAATACTTTAATGCAAGGTAACTTTTTTTTATTGTAAGAATTTTTTCTCCTAACTCTAGTCTAGAATTCTGTGAGATATCCCGAGGACATTCTGAAAAATGAATAATTCTGTCTAGTCACATTGTCCATTTTGCTTTTACTGAGTTCCATAGTATATAAAAACCATTGATTTTGAAAAAAAATTTCGAAGTTTTTGTCACATAAGTGGTTTACTACAATAAGATCGGCTTATACTAGCATCGATCATCACTTGAACACAATAATGGAATACCTAAACAATACTTAATAAAAATTAGAGAAAATGGTAGAAAAATTCTGAAAAAGTTCCGTGATAATCAGATTATATTCCGTAACGGAATTTCTGATCAGGATACATTTTCTTTCTATTGTAGAAACTGTTCGAGACGGTGTTAATGATGCTCGAGTAAAATTCGAAACCGAATATAACTCTCTTCGACGAAAATATGAAGCATTACAACAGGAAACATTCGATTTAAAATTAAAAGTTGTTGATGATAGGTGAGATAATTTATACGTCTAAAATATTATGTCCTTACGTATCAACTTTGAATTTGAAGAGATAGTGTGCTGGCTGATATATCACGATCATTACGTAATAAATTATTACGTGATACTGGCGATAATCAACAAGCGACTTGGGTACAAGAAAATGCCTCACTTGAAGAAGATATGCGAAAAGTACGTTGTTCAAAGTAAGAAAGAAACACTTTTTAGCAGTGAGATGGAAGATTGAATTTTTACATTAACGATTTTTGTTTTATTCAATTTAGGCACAAGAAAGTACATCGATGCTTAAATCTGTTATTTTACCAATGGAAGCTGAAATTAATCAACTTAAATTACAATTAAAAGAGGCAAAAGAAAAAATAAATGAACTTGAATCACTCGTATGTATTCAGTCTAATATATTTTTAGATTTTCATATTTTATCTTTGCCATTTTAGCCAAGAGAAGTAAACATTTCTTTTACATCGAATGAAAATGAAGATCAATTATTAGTATGTAAATTGTTTTAGTTTTATTTATATTTTGATAGATCTATCAAACTGTAATTCAAAAATGTAGTTAAGACTGTCATTTCTTGGTAATTGCAATTTGTTGCATCTATTGAAACAAAAATATGTACTTAGTTCAAAACTATTTCTGTTTTCTTATTCGAGATGAAATATTTTAGCTAGTACTATTTATTGAACAAGTTGAAAAGATAGTAAAGTTGTTTAAGTACAGACACAGAATCATGAAAAGTTATACCGTTACAATTGATCCACATGAATAATACACTGCATTTGATTTCTTTTATTAATTATCATCGATCAATAAATTTTTTCTTGTTGTCATTCAGATGATAAAACTAAAAAAATCTCTTTCCATATAGTGAATAAACGGACCACGGTTCTGGAACATAAATAAGACTATCCTGATATTTTTTTCTTAATATTTCATCATTCCAAAATAACATTGTCCATAATGAAACAAATACTATCGTCATATGAAATGTTAATAGTAAAAAGTGTCCATTTATGTCCATTCGATGATGTTGGATTTTTCGTATGATATAAATAATTGTCATTATAACTGTACATAGAACAAACAGGGGTGTTATTTGTCCTTCTGTTACTAAATACCAGTAATAGGATGAATTTAATAATGCTAGTAACCAGTAACTTCTTGGAAAGGATGAAGATCTATTTGTTTCATTCGATTTTTTCTGTTGGGCAGATATAAATGAACTATTGTAAAATAGTAGAAAACACATGAAATATGGAATATACCTAGAATAAAAAGAGAGAAATTATGTATTTAATTAACTAAATTAAAATATAATATAAATTTTAACACACTTTACCACATATAATGACCGAGTACTTCATCATAAAAATAGAGTAATTCAAATGAGTCAATTAATGATTTTGGTTCTAATTTTTGCATAATAGGATTTTCTCTTACACTTAAATGTAATTGATAACCATTTAATACTAGACGATGATTAATTGAATCTCCTACTAAATGAATACTTGCTCCCATAACAAATACAGTCATTAGTATATGAAATAGACTTCGATTAAATTTCATTGGACTTTTATTTATTAAACGTTCTAAATAATATGGTGTTAATATATTATAAAACATATGAAAATAGTCGCCAACACTTGGATAATTTAATGGAAACCATTTTAATGGAAATATTAACATGGCTATTGGTCGTCCAAAATCCAGTATCCAATTTTCCAATGCAAATAATAACCATAAATGCCAATGAAACTTTTCAACATATTCACTGTTTTGGCTCATTTTTGAATACTAAAAAATTTAAATATCTAATAGATAAATAATAATTATTCTAATTTTTATAATATTCTTTGATTTATTTCACATGTGAATCGTATCTATGTAGAAACATCTGTTGTTTTGTGTATGTTTCGATCGTGCGGTTTTTACTTCGCTTCTCATTATTCCAAATAAAATGAAGAAAACTAATTTAGTTTCAAATATTGTAAATAGAATAATTTATATAGATCCTTTATTTGAGTAACAAACAAAATTTATAATGCATTTTCTTACAGTTTTTTTAAATCTTGAAATTATACGCTTAAATTTATTCTTTCATTGAATGATGAAAACCATTTTAAATACAAATATACTAAAAAAGTTTGATATAGTGTATAGAACATGCCTTTGAATGCAATTCAAAATTTCAGAATGTGGTAAATGGTAATAAATGTGTTTTTTAATGACTTTTGTCTCATTTCAACCGGGTGAACATTTGAAATAATTTACGATGTATATGTGTCCGTACAAATGTCGAGGTCTGTTGTGTTTGAACAGAAAGTGCTAGAAGCTTAATTTTCTCACTCACAGATAGAGCAAAATATGTACTTTAAAATGCATATTTCGAAAAAAAAAAATTGGATGTAGTTTAAGAGTTTAAATTCTAAATTTTTTAAAACAACTAAAAATGGCTCGTAACTTCGTAAATTTTTTCGCACTTTTTCTTGTTTTAACTTGCATTATGTTGACCAAAAAACCAAGAGAGTGCGTTCAAACTTGGAAAAGGAAGACTGTAGACTCTAGGCTTTCTGAAAATATATTTCCTAATTTTCTGCCTATCCATGATAATCAGCAATTAGCGTTAAAAGCAAAATCGGTCGATTCCACGGTTAACATTTGTAAAGACACACATCTTTTGAAGATGTCCATAATATGCAACTTTTCAAGCCCTACAAGAATATGTATTAAATACATTTTATTGAACTCAGAAATGACCGAACACAGAATGCTGACAAAATAGCGCTTGATGCCAATTTCAACATAATTAGAGATTTTAATAACTCGGAAGGACTACATCCGTTTCATTTAAATTTTTTTCTAATCAAAGTTACATATCTGCTCAAAATTTATATCCCATTTCAAAGCATTAAGCCAAACACATAGCCAAGATATGAAAGAATTCCTAATTTTACCTTGGTTACAAGCCATTTTTAGTAGTTTTGAAAAATTTAAACTCTTAAACTACATCCAAATTTTTTTTTCGAAATATGCATTTTAAAGTACATACCTTGCTCTATCTGTGAACGACAAAATTAAGCTTCTAGCAGTTTCCATTTAAACACAACAGATCTCGACATGTATACGGATACATATACATCGTAGGTTATGAATATACTACCTCACAGTTATTATTGTTCTATTCATTTACACATTTTTTTTCTTCCCTCTTCAGCGACACCTTTACTCTTATCTTAAATAAACAACTGAAATTATGTCATCAACAGTGTTTTTATCATTTATTTTCGTTTGAGCTTAAGTTTACAGATATATGGAACCATAATGGTTTAGTTTTGTTGTAAATGTTAATCAAACTGTTGTGTGAGTCTAGTCACTTTTAAGCAGAAATAACAGAGGAATGAAGTTTATTTCATACTAATGTTCAATAGAATTTTATAGCTGGTTTCTTACTTACGATCTTAGGTTTGAAAAATTTAGAATTAGATGAACATTTGACATACGCAATCTTACCATCGTTTTGAAGAATTAATTTAATAATGTTTTTTTTTAATTTTATTTCAGAATAATTTATCCACAACATCAAAGTCGGATTCTGGTGACGATACAACAGCGATGCCAAGTGAACGACCAGCATCTCCGTTGATTCTCTCAATTGACAATCTTGTTAATAAATCATTAAATGAAACAACAACATCATTATCGTCCTATTCAATAGCAATTGTACGATTGAATTCTCAATGTGAAAAATTAAAACAGCAAATACAAACTTTAACGGGTCAATTGGCTGAAAGTATGTGTATTTATGCGATGAATATAATAATAATAATAATAATAATAATAATAATAATAAAAACGTAGTCATACTGATAGTTTTTTATTTTTTATCAAAGGTCAGACAATGGAAAAACGTGCCAAAGATGAATGCGATAAATATTTACAAATTTATGCACGCAACAATGAACGTTTTATTACGTTCGAACGAAAACAATTAGCTCAAATGAAAAAAATTCTTAGTATATTAACGCCAGAACAACACAAAATATTAACCGGTAAAATCTGTGTCATTATTTACAGTACTCATCTATCAATCAATGTGTTTGATATTCAGAAATATCTTTACCAGCAGATCCGACACAAACTAAAGGTGCAAGTGATTTGCCAAAACGACGGGCATTTACTAGTCCGTCAATGGCTTTTACGAATGCCTCATTATCACAATCCGAATCATCATCATCATTCCAAACAGCTAGTGATAGTCAAGCTAATGAGACAAGTTTAGGTGAGTAATTATTATTTATCAGAGACTTAAACGGGTCAACCAAACGCAACCCGACCCGACCCGAATCAATATCTTTTACGTTGATCCGAATCCGACCCGACTCGTTTCGGTCTTTGTTACCTATTAACTCGATAATTCTTAAATATTCTTCACGCATGGAACGTTGTTTACGATGTACGAAAGAGAGATCCTTATCATTTCGATAGAATGTAATAATATTACCATAATACATTTTATTTCATTTCTTAATTGCAGCAGAAAGAAGCGTTCAAGAAGATAACGATAATGATGCCAAGTTACTTGCGGCCGGGTTTCACAAATCCGAAACTGATTGGGAAGATTTGCTATATCAAGTGAGAATAATTTATTATAATGAAAAGACTTTTTATCAGAAAATAATTTCCGTTTTGACTTAAGATGAGTTTATTTAATATACGATACAAAAAAATTAGTGGTTTTCATTTGAGTACAAAGTATGAGTCTTTCCATTTTTACACGATTCTATTTACATTTTCACATATATATTATAGTGGCGGCGGTTGAGAAAAATCTTTTTTTTATGTTGTATAACTATCAAAAAGATATGAAAACTACATCAATTGATAGAGGAGAGTACGAGCTACATTTCGGTAAAAAAATAATTTTGAAAAGTTATTCTTTAGAGTGAAAACGCGACTTTAAGCTAAAATTGCCATAGTCTTCAGTTTGACTGATCAAACTCACGAGTCAGTGGGTGAAAAATAACTCGAATTGAGCCATTTGGAACAGGATTGATCGTGTCAATTTTTTGATTAAAAGATGGATCAAATCTTCCATTTAACTTCCAGACTATATGTATCTTACTTAGTTTTTGATGCTGTTTCGAATGTCTTAATCAGAGTATTTTTTCACCCACTGATTCGTGAGTTTGAGCAGTCAAACTGAAGACTATGGCAATTTTAGCTTAAAGTCGCGTTTTCACTCTAAAAAAAACAGCTTTTCAAAATAATTTTTTTACCGAAATGTAGCTCGCGCTCTCCTCTATCAATTGATGTAGTTTTCATACTTATACAACGTAAAAAAAGATTTCTGTCAACTGTACGAAAAATTTTTGCCGACTTGAAAAAGTTCACTTTCCAGTCTAATGGGCTTACAAAGAGCAATAAGGAATATTTCTAACTTTTTTTATCAGCACATATACTAGAGAGAGCAGACAATATTTTGGGTGCAAACCGCTTGTCAAAAGCTTTTTTCGTTATCGAGTTATGATCAAAGGAAATAAACATTTGGGATATACGGAAAATTTTTGCCGCCACTGTATATATTCTGAATCATTTGCTTTGTTAATGTTCTTATATTCTTTTTCCGCACGTACATTCAATTATTTATCATATTATCTACTATACTTGACATGTTAACAGTACTTCACCCTGTAAAAATAATTTAGATTTTGACGTCAAATTCCTAACACAGATTAGGTCATCTGTGTAATTTCAATGTTTTGGCATTGAGAAATCTGAAAAATTAATAATGTAAGGTTGAAAACTAGGCATTCATAAATCTTATCCAAAAATCTCTACTGTCAACGTGAAATTTGGAAATTTTACGACAATAGTAGAAATTTATGGATAAAATTTATGGATGTCTAGTTTTGACCTAATGTACGCTTGGTCAAAACAAATAATTTTGTTCTCTTTGACTAAGCCCCATTTATTGATGCCTAATATGCGTCGGTAGTAGGGAGAGTAACTACAAAACAAATTCATGTAAGTTATAAAAATAATTAGTATCTCGCGACTATGCTTATCAGGATGTTTGGTAATCTCCAAATGTGCTTTACTACAGTGTTCGTCGAAGCAGACATCTCGAACTTTGAAGTGACGATGGTTTTTTGTCAATAGCGTTTGTTAAGACAATTGTTCCAATATAGGCCAGAGCTCTTTCTTTTATCGAAGAAATAGGCACGAAATTATCGAGAGTGAATTATCATGTGATGTAACGACTAGCAAACTTTGAACTAGAAGCAAATTCGTTTTTTGGTGTTATGAGATGCCGTGATGGAAAATAAGGAATGTACCATGTTTTGGCAGAATCTTTTTCGATTTTAGGTTTTTTTCTTTTCCACATAAGATATTCCATGTGCAGATAGTTTTTCGATTCCAGCACGTTGATAGAAAAGAAAGAGAACAGAAAGATATGCATATGCGAAAAGAGATATCCCCTGAGTTGCTAGTTCTCTAATAATACGTCAGTCTATGCTGTTCGAAGTTTTTAAACAAACCCCGTCAGCGATGTTTATATATTATAGAATTGCATCTTTCTCTTTTCTCTTCTTCAAAGTATCTTTCTCTCCTTCTCATGCATATAATTCCGATCATGACCTTTCGATAAACTTTTTTTTCTTCCTTTTGTATTTAGGGTGAGTTAGTTGCACATTTATATCTATCTTTTTTTTGATGAATCATACCATATTTTTGCTTTCACTATTGACTGTACAATCTGCAAGGGGGAAAAAGCAGCACCTAGTGCCGATTAGGGTGCTGAAAGGTGCCGTTAGGTGCTGAAAGGTGCTGAAAGGTGCCGTAAGGTACTGCCTTGCAAACCATAAGTTAGTGGGATCGAATCACAC